GCCAATGTTGGATCAGGCCAAAGGCCCATCCAGTCCAACACTCTGTATCCCACAGTGGCCAGAAATACCAGTGCCATCAGGAGGTCCACCAGTGGGGCCAGGACATTAGAAGCCCTCCCACTGTTGACCCCCCCCCCCAAGCACCAAGATGACAGAGCATCACTTGCCCCAGAGTCCCTATCTATACCTTGTGGCTAATAGCCACTGATGGACCTCTGCTCCATATGCTTATCTAATTCCCTTTTGAAGCCGTCCATGCTTGTAGCCGCCACCACTGCCTGTGGCAGTGAATTCCATGTGTTAATCACTCTTTGGGTGAAGAAGTACTTCCTTTTATCCGTTCTAACCCGACCGCTCTGCAGTTTCATGGAGTGCCCACGAGTTCTTGTATTGTGAGAAAGGGAGAAAAGTACCTCTTTCTCTACCTGCTCTTTCCCATGCATAATCTTATAAACCTCAATCATGTCACCCCTCAGTCGTCGTTTCTCCAAGCTAAAGAGCCCTAAGCGCCTTAACCGTTCCTCATAGGGAAAGTGTTCCAACCCTTTTATCATTCGAGTTGCCCTTTTCTGCACTTTTTCCAAAGCTATAATATCCTTTTTAAGGTGTGGTGACCATCGGCCTTCCTTATAGTCCAACTCTCGCAGCCATACATGACTACTGGGAATACCATTGCTTTGACCATGCGGACTTTTGTTGGCAGGGTGATGTCTCTACTTTTCATCATGCTGTTTAGGTTCGCCATTGCTTTCCTCCCAAGGAGCAGGCGTCTTTTAATTTCATGGCTGCTGTCACAGTCTGCGGTGATCTGGGATCCCAGGAATGTGAAGTCTGTCACTACTTCCACGACTTCCCCTTCTATTTGCCAAGGAGTGATGGGGCCGGATGTCATGATCTTAGTTTTTTTGATGTTCAGCTACAAGCCCACTTTTGCCTTCTTCCTACCGGAACCCAAAAGTCCCGGCTCCATCCCCTTCCCCGCCGCCCCTTTGATCCCTCCCTGCTCGTGGCTGTTCGGGTCATCCTCTTTCGCCATGCACACCGCCGACCATCTCTCCCCATCTTGGCGCGCCCCGGGCTTGGCTGCGCTACCCGGGTCGGGGCGCCTCCAGAGCAGCTCCGCCTTGGGTCCAGTGGCCGACTCCCATAGTGGCCGGCCCGACCCGCCGCTTGATTTCGCCTGGCCTCGCCTGCCGTGCGAGCCCTTCTCGCCTTGCCTTGCCCTGCCCGAGAGGTGGCCACCAGGTTGATTCCCGGGCTTCGCCGGAGAGACTGCGGTTACTCCCCCCTCCGCTGGGCGGAGACTGGCTGCGATCTCTGTCATTCACCGCCGAAAGGAACGGGAAGCCGGCTTGGGACAGCCCCTCGCCCCAAGGAGGAGGGGAGATGGGGTGACAGTTTTTGTTTTTTGGCCACGATTACTCGGGGGATCCTGACCCCAGCGCAGCCAAGCGGATGCGCGCAGGCAAAATCGCGCGCAGCGGCCCCAGCCTGCCGCAGCAGCAGCAGGCAGGCTGTCTGCCCTCCCCTTTCCCAGATCCTTTCCTCCTGGAGTATTTCACAAATTCCTCCTTTGCCAACAGTTCAACAATCAATGGGAAATTTTCACTTTGAGGTTTGCCAGAGTTGTCTCTGCGGCTTCTAAATGACAAATTACTCCAAGCGAAATTAAAACCAACATTTGGTCTGCAAACTTATCTCTGGTTTTTGTTTTTCAGTCCCCGCCTGGACTGTGTCACTGGTGAAATTGGAAAGAATATCAGAACGATAATATTAATCAGTGCACTCTAAAATACATTTTAAGCACTTTTACTGAATTTGGTATGTTACCATGTTTTTATGGACTGAAGAAGGAAAGGAAGAAAACAGCATTGTTCCACAATAAACTTTTTTCCGTAGAAAGTAACACAATAATAATCAGCATTATTTGAAAGGCTAGTTTTGCAATTCTGGTATGGTGTTTTTCAGATAAGTATATCTTGCCGTTTGTTGGCACCATTTATATCCCCCCTTTCTTCCCAATGGTGACAAAAGGCAGCTTACATTGTTCTCCTCTCCTCCAATTTATAATAAATCTGTAAGGTAGGTTTGGCTGAGAGTGTGTGACGGGCCCAAGGTCACCCAGCAAGTTTCCATGGCAGGATAGGGATTTGAATCTGGGTCTCCCAGATGCTAGGGGTCGTGTTGGGTACCTTGGCAGTTTGAGACCCGAGTGCCGTGTGACGGAGTGAGCTCCCGTCTCTGGCCCCAGCTCCTGCCAACCTAGCAGTTCGAAAGCAAGAAATTGCTAGTAGATAAATGGGTACCACTTCGGTGGGAAGGTAACAGCATTCCGTGCGCCTTGGTGTTTAATCATGCCGGCCACATGACCACAGAGAAGTCTACGGACAGCGCCGGCAATCCGGCTTGGAAATGGAGATGAGCACTGCCCCCTAGAGTCGGATTTGAGTGGCTTTTGACCAAGGAAAACCTTTACCTTTACCTCTCAGATGCTACTCTGATACCGTAACTACACCACCGTCCTGGCTCTTACCTGTTTTCTTGCTTTTCATTCTGAAGGAAGGAACCTTTGCTCAGTACAACTCATTTTGATCTGGGAAACATGTAAGGAAGCATCGCATACAAGCCCATCAAAACTGATACAATCCATTGTGTGTGACTGCAGCCTTAAAGAATCAAAAAGGCAAATTGTGCCAGGGGAACTAAAATGCTGGCTGAGTTCTCAGGAGGGGAAGGATTCTCTTGGAAGTATGGGAACCCCTGTAGGGCATGTGTGGCTTGCCTTTCTGGTTTTAGAGAGGCTTGGGAAAGTAGAGATGACGAGTCTCTTGTGACCAGGCAGCCAGATAGTGGCAAGGTTGGCAGCTGTAGGGAGGTGTTCACCACCAATGCTCCCTCTAAGCTGTGGAGTCCTGTGAGCCAAAATTCTACTTTCTGAGCTAGGGGCATTAAAATCGTGAGCGCGTGATTTGGCTACTGCATAAATTAGTTTGCTCTGGAGCCATCCTTCCTGAGCTAAGACAAAAATTGTGAGCCCGAGGCTAAAAAAAACTGTGAGCTGGCTCACACTAACTCAGCTTAGAGGGGACACTGGACCACCCAGATTCACCGCCTGAGATGACCACGGCACCTCCCCTTGTGGATGACGTGACCCAATCACTGGCCGACAGACTTGTTCTTGGGCAAGGTGCTTGAGCAGGTGTAGCACAAGATCCCCCTGGATGTAATTGATTGTCTAGACCTATTTCAGTCTGACAAAACGGCTTCCGTCACTCTGATGGGTGATCTGTACCAAGAGAAGGAGGGGAGAGAGATCTTGAATCGCTTGGACCGTTCAATGCTGTCAACCATGGACTGACTACCAAGTCTTACTGCTTATTTACTACCATTCTGCAGGGCCTGTAAAACGGAGCTGTTCTGCCAGGTTTTTGGCTGAGGTGATGGGCATCCAATAAAATCTTTCTCCTCCTCCCCCACCCCCGCGCTGAAGTTCACCATCTCTATGTGGCCCGGATTAAGCAGAAGAAAATGGCACCGGCTTGAAATCGATGCCTATGAACAGTGTGACCGGTTTCAATCCATGCTGGTTTAAACTGTTTTAATTGTTTTGTAAATTATATTTGATATGGATGGAAATTTTTTATGATGTCTTAGATTTTGCTTTGTGATCCGCCCTGAGCCCGCTTGTGGGGAGGGTGGAATATACATTGCAATAAATAAATAAAATAAATAAACTGGAGGTTTCATGCTGCCTTACCCAGAAAGTGGTACTGGAGGACTGATTTGTCCCCCCTGACATTTATTCTATGGGGTTCCTCAAAGATCAGTTCTGTCCCCTGTACCATTAAATGTCTACACAAAACTGCTTAGGTGACTGAGTCCAGGGCTTTGGATTTCAGTGATACACTAATGACAACCAGCTCTCTGTTGATGCTGCTGCCGTCAAGTCACAGCTGACTTATGGCAATCCTGTAGCGTTTTCAAGGCAAGAGACTTCAGAGGCAGTTTGCCATTGTCCGGCTCCGCATCCCGACCCTGGACTTCCTTGATGGTCTCCCATCCAAATACTAACCAGGGCCGACCCTGCTTAGCTTCTGATGACATTGGGCTAGTCTGGGCTACCCAGGTCAGGACAACCAGCTCTAGTTGCACCGTAATCAGTTGAAGCATAGCCTTTGAGTTGCTTATGGGATGGATAAAGTGAATCTTAGTCCTGCAAGACGGAGAGATGCTCTCTGTTAAGTGATCAATCAACCCACAATAATGCTATTTCTCCTATTCTAGAGGGGGATCTGGTCACTGTCAGTTTGGAGATCCAGCTTTACAGCAGGATTGTCATATAGTATTTGTCGCCTTTCCCCACCTTTGGCAAGTACACCAGTGGCGTCCCCTTAAGAGTGCAGACTAATCTGGAAGAAGCGGGTTTGATTCCCCACTCCTCCACATGCAGCTGCTGCTGTGACCTTGGGTCAGTTATACATTCTTTCAGAGGTGTTCTCTCAAGGGCAGTTCTCTCAGAGCTCTCTCAGTGCCACCTACCTCACAGGGTGTCTGTTGTGGGGAGGGGGAAGGGAAAGGGATTGTAAGCCACTCCGAGACTCCTTTGGGTAGTGAAGGGCGAGGTATAAATAATAAATCCAGTCTCCTCCTCTTAAAACCAACGAAGCGTAATTCTGGGTATAAGCATGCACACAAAAGCTTATACCCAGAATTAAACTTTGTTGGTCTTAAAGGTGCCACTGGACTCCAACTTAGTTCAAGTGTTTCAGGGTATAAGCTTTCAAGAGTCATAGCTCCCTTGGTCAGACACAATAGAGTAGAAATGCAGATGTCAGAAGGCAGGAGGGTGTTGTACAGAATGCTCGTAAAAAATGCAAAGGTGCCAGGCACATTGTAATCAGCTTGGTCAGAGCAGAGGGGAAATGCCTGAGGGCAGAAAATTGGTCTCTGCAGCCAGATTTTTTTTTTTTAATGACGGCTAGTTTCCTCATTTTGGGGTTTTTTAAAATATATAATCTTAAAATCACACAATCGAAGGGTGAACATTATCTATTGGATGCTCACCCTTTGATTTGTGTACTTTTAAAGTGAAACAAAAGGAAAAGGCGGGCTATTCTTTTAAAAATGATTTCCCTTATCGTAAGAGACCCCTCAAAGCAAACCATCCCCCCCTCCCCCCTCGGCCGCGGCCCTGCGCGTCGAAGATGCGCTCCCCTCTGTTGTGTCTGCGCCTCTCCTTTCTTGCCTTACAAGGCTTCGCGCGAGGCGCCCCCTCCTCTCTCTCCCGGTCCGGCAGGGGGCGGAGCTCCCCACGCTGGGATTTTGGGACCCGCCTGGCCCTTCCCCCTTTTCTCTTCCTCCGGGTTAGAGAGCTGAGCGCCACGGCGGAGCAGCCCCGGCGGTGGCTGCAAAGGGGCGGGTAGCTGCTGGTGCTGCTGCTTCCCCGGGCAAGCCGCTGCCTCGCTTTGCCCAGCAGCTGGAGAAAGGCCGCTTCGCAGCTTCCATGCGTGGCCGGGCCGGATCCGAGACGGGAGGTGAGTAGGCGCCGGCAAGGGGGGGGCGTGCAGGGCGGATCCCGATCCCGGGCGCCGGTTTCCCGGGCCCCAGGAAAGCCAGGCTGCATGGCAGGGAGGGGCTGCGCTGCCCGCCTGAAGCGGGGAAAGGGGATGGGCTCGCTCCGTCCCCCCCTTCCTGCCAGGCTCCTCCAGCTTCACCCCCCCCTTTGTAGGATGGGGTGTGGGGGGACAGGCGGGGAGCAAACTTCCCACCAAGTCCGGCATGGCAGGCACGGCAGGTTGGCACCGCGTGTTGGCATCGGAGCGCGCCGGAGAAAGGCTGTGACTCATCGCTTTGGGGGTGTCTCTCCCCCCCCCCCCAACTCCGCGCATTGACAGCGCGCCCGCAAGACTTGCACTTGGGTTTCCTTACCGAGCGTTTCTTACAAATACGCTTTTCCCATTCTTCAGATCGCTTTGAAACGAGGGAGGAGGCGCTCAGAATCGGGGGTGGGGACTCGCAACCGACACCCCCTGACTGTGCGAGAGAGATTCTTCTTCATGGGATGGGCCCTTTGGCTTCATTTTAGGAGGAAAGCACTTAGCTTGGAGCAGTCACATTTTCCTACCAGTTTTGCCAGGCTCTGTCCTCTCAACTTCCTCACCGGGCTTTGGGTGAGGATCAATACATTGGACCCGTTTAATTGGTTTCCTGTTTGTGAAGAAATGCAGGAGCGTCTAAGACCTTTCTTTCCTGAATCGGCCTGCAAGACCAGGGCACCGCTTATTCCCCTGCCCATGATCCAGAGCAGCGCAACAAGGTGCATTACCAGCTGCCCAGACCATCTCTCTCTCCACTTCATTGTTTCCTAATTGTGCCAGCCGTGAGAAATACCCCTTAGCCATTAGCCTTTTATTTACATACAACCCAGAAATGTCTTTGTCTCTATAGCAGGCAGGCTCTCTGGAAGGTTCCCAACTTCTCGTGCTTGGTGTAGTAGTGGTTAAGGGTGGGGACTCTAACCTGGAGAACCAGGTTGATCCCCCATCCACATAAATGCCAGCTAGGTGACCTTGGGTCAGTCACAGTTCTCTCAGAGCTGTTCTCTTAAGAGCAGTTCTCTCAGAGCTCTCTCAGCCCCACCAACCTCACAGGGTGTCTGTTGTGGGGAGAGGAAGGGAAGGCAATTGTAAGCCGCTCCTTTGGGTAGTGAAGAGCCGGTGTATAAAACCAACTTTTCTTCTTCAACCGGCCACTTCACTTCTGCCTTTAACAGCCGCACAACGCACAGATGGGAGTAGGTGAGCTTGCTCATCATCTCTGTACTATGAAGGGCTTCACTGGCTGATTTCTGCACATCAGGCAGCTGCTAAAGACACAGGAACAGGCCAGTCTGGTTTTTGGGGTTATGTTTCCAGGTCAGTGGGCAGACCGCAGTGGGGGTATGCGGCAGCGGAGGGGGAGAGAGACTGTTCTGACTAATATTTCCCTGTCCCACTATTGGGACAGCAACATGCTGGATTTGGTTGGATTTGGTAACCCTGGCCTAACTCAGTCCGCAGTCTTCTTTCCTCCTGCCCTCGTCTTCATGTGAAGCTGCTTTTTACTGAGTCAGACCACTGGACTATCTGTCAAGGTCAGTGTTGTCTGCTCCAGCTGACAGCAGCCCCCCAGGGTCTCTGGAAGGTCTTCCGTACATGTCACCTTTTAACTGGAGATGGTGGGCCTTGAACCTGGAACCTTCTGCATGCAAAGCAGAAGCTTTACCACAGAGTCATGGCCTCTTCCTCAGCTCGGTGTGTGTGTGTGTGTGTGTGAGAAGTGCTGTCAAGTCGCTTCTGGCGGCCCTGCGAATTAATGTCCTCCAAGACGTCCTGTCATTAACAGGTTTGCTCAGGTCTTGCAAACTGAGGGCCGGGGCTTCCTTTACGGAGTCAATCCATCTCATGTTGGGTCTTCCTCTTTTCCTGCTACCTTCAGATTTTCCTAGTGTTATGGTCTTTTTCTAGTGACCCTTGCCTTCTCATAATGTGAGTACAATAGCCTCAGTTGAGTCATTTTAGCTTCTAGGGAGAGTTCAGCCTTGATTTGATCTAGGACCAGAGGTCATTTCGGGGGGGAACGCGGGGGAACGCAGTTCCCTCGGGTGAGGTGCAGGGGGGCGGGGCACATGATGAAGCCCCTCCCCCTGCTTCCGGCCGCCCCGCTTCCAGCCCTCATTCAGCCAGAAGGAGGCAGGAAAAGAGGGAGGGTAAGTTGCTTCCTCCCCATCTCTCCCCACCCCTGCCTGCCTGGGTCCAGGGAGGGCCTTGGCGGGGCTTCCTCGCACTCCCGCTGGCCTTGCAGGTCCACCACCGGGCCCCTGATATCAGGGGGTGTGGCATATGCTAATGAGTTATGCTAATGAGTTCCCCTAGCTCTTTTTCTACGAAATGACCCCTGTCTAGGACCCATTTATTTGTGTTTTTTTGGGCCAGTCCATGGTATCTGTAATACTGTCCTCCAGCGCCACATTTCAAATGGATTAACAATGCTCTCTCTAAGCTGTGGAGTCTTATGAGCAAAACCTCTATTTTGTGAGCCACTGGCATTAAAGCTGTGAGTGAGCCATTTGGCTATTGCAGAAATAAATTTGCGCTGGAGCCATCCTTCCTGAGCTAAGAAAAAAAATGTGTGAGCCAGAGGCTAAAAAACTGTGAGCTAGCTGACACTAACTCAGCTTAGGGGAAACAGTCAGCCCCCTTTGCTGGATTCTCTGCCCTACTGTATTCTGTACCTTACTGTAGAAGGTGCAGGTTGCATGTTTTTATTTTGTCGTGCTGCATTGTTGGCTAAACGGCTTTGTTTGCTGGGTTTGGGCCTCTGTGGAAAACTGTTTATGAGAGATCCTAAATAAAATGTAATGTGTTCTGCTCCCCCCCCCCCCCAATTCCTTCTGAATCTCTGCAGCTACCTTTCGGAAGGGACAAAAGACCGAGGAGAGCGAGAGAACTTTCTGCCACATTTTTAAGATCAATGATACAAGAATCAAACACAGTGGCTCTTAGGGAAGATTCTGTCGGACTGCGGCGTTATTGGGACTAAAGACCTCACCAGTCTTCTTCTAATCCAAGCAGCACACCAAGAATTAGGTCCCCCCCTCAGGCACCTCTTCACTGCCGTTAATAGCTATGACTGGGAAGATGGCCTCTAGTCTCACTTGTGCTGGAGTGATCTGGGCATTTTTTTCCTTCCTCTGCGCCGGTGTTTCCTGCGTGGGGTTCTTCATGCCTTACTGGCTGCTGGGATCTCAGCTGGAGAAGTCGGTGTCGTTCGGCACTTTCCGCAGATGCTCCTACCCGGTGCGAGACGAGAGCCGCCAGATCACCGTGATGGTGGAGCAGTGCGGACGCTACGCCTCTTTCCAGGCCATTCCAAGCGTGGAGTGGAGGATCTGCACGGTGGTGACGGGCTTGGGCTGTGGTCTTCTCCTCCTGGTGGCCCTGACTGCCCTCATGGGATGCTGTGTGACCGAGCTTATCTCCAGGGCTGTGGGCAGGGTTGCCGGAGGCATCCAATTCTTGGGAGGTGAGTAACTGCAAACTTTTGACCCTGTGGGGCCACTTCCTGCCCGCCTGGATGCACAGTACGTCTGTTGTTCTCTGTACACTTGCTCGCTTGTTTTTTTTTAGGGTCAAATTATACGCTCACGTTAATTTTTCTGCTAGATCTTGCACTTGCTGCACGTTAACAATGTTCCCTCTAAGCTGTGAAGTCCTGTGAGCAAGAATTCTACTTTGTGAGCTCCTGGCGTTAAAGTTATGAGCAGGTGATTTGGCTACTGCATAAACTTGTTTGCTCTGGAGCCATCCTTCCTGAGCTAAGACAAAATTGTGTGAGCCAGAGGCTAAAAAACTGTGAGCTAGCTCACACTAACTCAGCTTACAGGGAACAATGGTTACGAATATATTTAGGGAGGAAGATAACAGCGGAGGGGAAATGACTAGTCATGTCTAGAACAGTCAGTTTTGGTGTCAGCTTCATAAAGTGCTGGGATTTGATTTCTGAAAGTCCAAATGAACAAGTTTCTCCCGTTCCAGTACTCTCTTGCAGTGGTCATCACTTGGGCTGGGGCCCTCAGGTGGGCCATGAACCCCTGTCGAACTGCCACCTTTTTTTTTGCTTTTTGGGGGGGAGAAGGGGGAAGGTCTGTGTTGCTAGTGTCTGTGCACAGAGAGCCAGAGCGCGCCACATCTCCCGCTTCTCTTTGCATGCGCACTCAGAAGAGCAGCAGGACAGTGAGACAAGGTCACTCCGTAGAACAGAAGATTCTGCCATGGCTCTGACCTTTGGCTTGTTCCTCACCATGATACGCCTCCTGGTCTTCAGTTTTTGTTTCCTGTCCCCAGTTCTTTCTGTATTCTGCCCACAGTCCCAGCTTTGAAACCACTGAGGTCATAATCTCGGCTGGTTCTCTTCCTGTCACATGACTCTGGTGTTGTATACTTGCAGCTCCTTGTGTCTTGAAGGGCTTAAAAACTACTAGTCTGTTGTATGTTCCGTTGATAGTGTGGGAGGAAAAACTACTTCAGAGTTATAGCGTCCAGCTCTGTCGTATCCCCCCCCCCCCATTACATGCAGGGGAAAGCATTTGAGTCCCCATCCAGTTCTAATGTTTACCTGGAAGTAAGTCCAAATGATTTGGGTGAGACTCGTCCACTAATCAGTATATTCGGGACTGCAGTCCTTATACTTTGAGAGTGAATCCCACACAAATGGTTTCCCCCTCCTTTAAATTGCCACAAAGGCCTGTTAAGTCTTTTCAGCTCTGTACTCGTTTTACCATCCCTGACCATATGGTTTTAATTGTAGCTTTTCCAGTGTTGTGGCAGCAGTCCTCACTTCTTTGTGTTCTTCTCCCTTAAGTGCTCTCTTTTTTCACCCTCTGCAGCTGCTATTGAGGGAAGAAACACCAGATCTGTGAAAATGTCCATATTGTCTGTTCTTATGAAAGCGGGTCTTGTGCAGAAATCTTGAGGTGCATTAGGGATCATAGAACAGAGGAAATTGGCATTGGGTTGTCAAGAGTTGTGTTGTTGCCTGCTTTCTCAGGACACTTAAAATATACACACACACACCCAAGATCTCTGTATGGCAGCTTTGGTGGCGGCATAGCTAGCCACAGAGTTCTGGTAAATAAAGCTTCCATTCAGGAAGTATAGGTGCGTGTGCCTGTCTGTCACTGAAAATCCCCTCCCCAGCTGATTAAAGTGTGTGGGGAGGCCCTGTTGCTTCATTAGTTTTTTTCTTTGCTCTGTGCTTGAGTACTTCCCTCAGTTGTGCAGTAGATTTCATTACTGTTGGTAGATTTCATTACCGTTAGATGTAAAAGGGTACCATTTTGAGAGTTTCCTCTGGACTGCGTGTGTGTCAGATTTCAACTCTTTAGTTCACAGAAAGGTGCCCTAACATTTTTTTCTGCATCTGTGATTGACAGTCATTACAGTTATTAAAATTAGAGGTTAGAGTCAAGTTCTTACGGGACAGCAGCAGTGGCGTTGTAGTCTAATCCTACACTGTTGTACCAGTGGATCAGTATGTTGTGCCAGTATGACAGTTCTGAAGTTATGTTTTCTGGACAAACAGGAAGCCTCGGGACATGCTCTTTGGAAAGGCGCTGAAATTCAAAGGAAGTGGACTTTGTTAATGCAGCTGCGACCATATCACTAAATCATCCATTTTATTTTATTTTTATTTTTTTGAATTTTTATTTATTTATTATTGAAGCTTATATACATTATCTTACATTAAATCATTATACAATCATTTTACCCCCCCCTCCTTGTAGTATCTTCATATTTTTAACCATGTGTACAGATTTTTCATTCATATTTGGATATTTGGATTGGCTTCCCCCCCTTTCCACCCATTCCTTATATCCCACCCATTTATTTAATCATCCATTTTATTGCCTAATTCGTTTTGTTTCACAAGAATTAAGGGACTTGCAATTCTGGTTGGTCGATATAGTAGCTCATATATGAATCTAGCTTGTGGTTTGTTTCCTTTATGTGGACTTACACATTGTGGTAGGCATCCCCCCCCCCCCAGTTGCCCTGTTCACTAAATAGATGGGCAGCCCAGCCTTACGGCCCAGTTAAGATGGCTGCTGTTAAGTGCAATTATGCAAATTAGTCAGTATCCTGTGCTCTCTCTTTGGCAGGCTAACGGTGTCACAAGAATAACAAGTGCATCAGCTGTGACTGCTGGTCCCACTGAGATGCAGTTAAATGTACAGGTGCCCTCTGCTTGAGACACTGCCCACAGACCACACCAATAACGACAGTAGAATGAAAAGCACCAATCAGCACACAGCGTTGTAAAGATCCTGGCAAGATGATGCTTTATCCTTCACTCCCCTATGCATTAGGCAGAAGGAACAAAAAGCCCTATGGTAGTATTTGGGAAACACAGCTTTGAACCATGAGTCATTTTTCTGGCTTCACAACATGGAAAAGCGCAAAGAAATGAACATCGGTACAAAATGTATGCAAGTGTGATACACAAGATATGCACAGTCCCCAGTTGCATTGTACAAGTGGGAACTTGCAGAGAATTGTGCACAGTGTGGGGAAAGGAAGGGGATTTCTTCAGCATCTTGTGGAAGTGCTAACTAATTTTTTTTTTTAAAGGGGGAGGGATGGCACTAAAATAGCAGAATGTGTTGGTTTCCTGCTCTTTCATTTCCACTGATGCTGATGTATAAAGTACACTTTATATAGTTTTTTTCACAGTCATTCTGGAGAGAGAGAGAGGTGTGATTGAAATCAGGAAACTTGTATTGATGCTACTGATCTTTTATAATTTAAACGGGGTTGTTTAATCTAATCTAGGCGTAGCTTAATCGTTAGTGCATTCTAAAAGTAACCAGTCAAGATCCAGATTGAGTCCCTCTATCGTATAGTTAATATAACTAAAGAAGTTACTAAAAAGTACAGTCAATAATCTTTAGAAGTGAGCATTGTTCTGGTGCCTCCCTCTCTGCTTTTGATGATTGCTTGAGGCAGCGGCAGCAGGTAGGGACCATGGGAGCAGATCTGACGGTGACGTCTGTCAACCAGAAGAGTTAGCAGGTATTCCCACTAAAGGGGATTGTCCCTGTAGGTGTTTTCATGCATGGCGATTCCACTATTTTCCACCAATTACTGTACTTGTTTGATTCTGTATTAGCAAAAGCAGATCCTGTTTACTTTCTAGTGTGTCCTCTGCTCTGCTGCTGCATTGCTTGCCTGCCAGGGACAAAGGTTTGGGCTTACTCTAAGAAGGCAGGGACTGCAGACTGGGATAGAGGCAAAGGATACATTTTGCCCTCCTCCCCCCCTGTAGTAGGCAGCATGCCTGTAGGAAACATTAGGATGAATCCTGCTCCTCCGCTGAGCAAAGTTTGAGCCCTTGCCCCAGCAGGCTAATAAGCCTTTCTTCAGCTTAGAATCATAGAATGTTAGAGTTGGAAGGGACCTTGCAGGTCATCTAGTCCAAACCCCTGCACTCTGCAGGAGCATAGCCGAAAGATAGCCCTACAACATACCCAAAAGATGGTCGTCCAGCCTCCGCTTGAAAACGTCCAGTGAAAGAGCATCCACCACCTCCCGAGGCAGTCTGTTTCACTGCTCAACCACTCTTACAGTTAAGAAAGGTCTCCTGATATTTAGCCGGTATCGATTCCCTTGTAATTTCCACCCATTAGATCTAGTCTTGCAATTTGGATCAAGAGCAGAGGTCATTTCGGGGGGGAACGCGGGGGATCGCAGTTCCCCGGGTGAGGTGCGAGGGGGCGGGGCACACGATGAAGCCCCGCCCCCTGCTTCCGGCTGCCCGGCTTCCAGCCCTCATTCAGCCAGGAGGAGGCAGGAGAAGAGGGAGGGTAAGTTGCTTCCTCCCCACCTCTCCCCACCCCTGCCTGCCTGGGGCCAGGGAGGGCCTTGGCGGGGCTTCCTCGCACTCCCGCCGGCCTTGCAGGTCCACCACCGGGCCCTTGATGTCAGGGGGTGTGGCATATGCTAATGAGTTATGCTAATGAGTTCCCCTAGCTCTTTTTCTATGAAATGACCCCTGATCAAGAGAGAATAGACCTGCTCCATCTTATATATGACAGCTCTTCAAATACTTGAAGACTGCCATCATGTCTCCTCTAAGCCTTCTCTTTCCCAGGCTAAACATACCCAACTCTTTCAGCCTTTCCTCATAAGACTTGGATTCCAACCCTCTCACCATCTTGGTTGCCCTCTTCTGGACACGCTCGAGCTTGTCAACATGCTTCCTAAAGTGTGGTGCCCAAAAAGTGTGGTGATCAACCAGAACACCTAGATCCCTTTCACATGTGCTGCTGTCAAGCCAAGTCCCTCCCATTCTGTATCTTAAGCAGCTCTCCTTCCACGTGGGGTTGGATGCATGCCATTTTGTTCGTATTCCCTGGAAGGCAGGCACTGCAGGGATAGAGGCACAGAGGAGTCTGTGCTATGTTGCCCCTTCTCCTCTGCATGACTGGACATGCAGTTGTAGCAAAGAAAGGCAAATATTGCTTGGGA